TCGGTTGTTGCTAAGTGATGTTTACCCTGACCAAGGACTCTGTGAGGCTCATGCTCTGCCAGGGAGGAGGGGAAGCTGTGAGGAAGCAGAGACGGGGCGCCTGACCCGGGCTAGCTGGGGAGGTATTCCATACCACAGCACGTCATGCCCGGGGTGGGGGGGTAACTGGGAGTTACCCGGAAGGACAGGGGCTTCCGGGTGGAACTCGCTTTCTTGGCCGGTGGTATCGTATTCTCTTCCCTTGTTATTTTCCCTTATCATTGTTTTAGCTGATAGTAGCGGTGGTGATTTGTTGCTGGACTGTTCTTGTCTCAACCCGTAGGAGTTGCACTCTCTCGATCCTCCTCCCCGTTCCTCTGGGAGCGGGGAAGGGGAGAGCCCCGGTGCAGGGGGGGGGGGGGGGGGGGGGGAGACGGACATGGACCTCGATTGTTGTCAGCTCGGCACCACTCACTGGGGGTGAGTGAACAAGTTACCTGACTGGGTTTAAACCACGACAATGCTACCTCAAATAGCTTAGAATCAGAAGCAGACTTGTTTCATCTGAAATGTTGAACAGCAGAGGTTACCAATCAGTCCAAAGCTGATTCTCTAAACTAATAATCAAAGGAGGCATGGCATGATCGATATTCAGGGAAAAAAAAAACAACACCTTGTTAATGGGTTCTTTGCATTGTTCTGAATCTGTTCCAAGAGTTAAAGTTTATGCGAAACTTCAACACGTCTGCTTCAGGTGTCTTTCCCTTGCCTCATGGATACTCACATTAATGTGCATATTTAACAGAAAATTCCCACCACAACAGAATCATAGAATCACAGAATGGTTTGGGTTGGAAGGGACCTTAAAGATCACTCAGTTCCAACTCCCCTGCCCTGAGCAGGGACACCTTCCACTAGACGATGTTGCTCAAAGCCCCATCCAACCTGGCCTTGGAATCTCAGCAGACTGTAAGTCACTACCTCAGTAGATTATCAGCACTATGTGTGAATATGTGTGTGTGTGTTATATATATTTATATATTGAACATGGCAATCTGTTCCTTTACTAAGCAAGGAGCTGCCTTTTGGGCAATCACCCTTATTCAATTGTCAGACCATTGGAATGGAGTTGGAGGGAGATGGCAGATAGTTTCTACAGAAGACTTGAGACACATGAAGAAAACGATGCAGGAAGCAGACAGACTTCTGGTAGGTAAGAGTAGTATTCTTGGGTTTTAATGCTGTTTGAATTGTGCCCTGCATGGAATGTCTGATCAAAATGACATGGTGAGACATCCAGAGCTTACAGAGAAATCTACCCAGTTACAGTTTACCCTAATGCATTTTTGGGCACTACTTAGTATTTAGAGTGAGATGGATGGTGTAAGAAATTACACGAAACATACCTAAGAGCTGATACTATATGGCTATCTTCTAATTTAAGTTATAGAGGAAGAAGCTGAAATGTTTTGCTATGTCTAGATTTTTAATTTTCATTATGATGGTGTATACAGGCACAGCTGCCTAAAGAAATGGCTCTGCCTTACTCCCTCCACTACTTCTCCAGTTGTGCCTTCTTTCTCTTCCCCTGTGCTACTGCCCACTTTTTGCTGCAAGAACGTTTCTCTGGCTCTACAGTAAACTGGGAACAGATGTGGATTTAAACCTCTTTTTCTTTTTTTCCCACCAAAGCCCTTTCTCCAGTTGAAAGCGACTGTGAAAATACAGCATTACAGGCTGCATCAGAAATCCCACCAAATTCAAACAATCCCTCCCTGTGTACTGAAGGCAGGGCTGCTGCCTCTTCTCAAACAACTTCCTGTGCCCTCATGGAAGCTCGGAATTGCCTCCTCTGTTTTCCACTCCTCATCTTGGCCTCTTTGCTTCTCATTGTCTACACATAGCTGCTTCTTTGTGTGGTACCTTCGCTTTCAATTGATATCAGTGTATGAGAGCTCCCCCCTGCACCTGCTGCCATAGTGAACAGATTTCCTGTAGCTCTGTCCCTTATGACCTCTGCTTCATCTCATAGCTCAGCTGCAAACTCTGCTTTTCTTCTTCTTACATTCATCTTTGTTTTTCATTTTTTACACCAGAGACCTTTTCTATTTCAGTAGTAAATAGTGTACTCACCAAAACATACCACTGAAGGGAAGCCAACTCTACTTGTGAATTCAAGTCAAATTCGGGGGGGGGGAGGCTTTTCCTAGCATAAAAATGAGGAAAGCCCAGACATGTTAGACTTACTAATTTTATCTCTCCAGGTTCAAGACATCTTAATCTTTTCAAGCTATGCTTATATGTGGCACTGCAGCAGAAGAGTAAATAGCCATCATGCTCATGTCCTCATACTCTAATATGATTTTTCTCAAGCTGTTCTTTTCATCATCTCTCCTTCAATTTGAAAACGATTTGCATGGCATCTTTTGGAGCATGGCTTCAGCACAGACTAGGGAAGCTGCAATGAGATAGGAGGCCAGGCAGGGGTGGCTAGGGCAGAGCAGCAGCATGGGCTGGTACAGACCAGATATCTGTGTCCATGAGGAGGTAGGACACCCAGCCAAGCTGCCATATCTCACCAGAAGACTCAGGATAAGGGATGAAGGTAATCATGGCTGGCTGGGAGATGGCAGCTTAGCTCAGTGGTTTGCTGTGGCCGTTGGCTCCTGCTCCTCACATTGCAGCCCTCTGCAGAAGCCAGATCCTGGCCAGTACTTTTCCGTTACCTGGTCCTGCTGGAGCCGCAGCCTCTGAGCTGCTTCCTTTTCACCTACATACCCTCACAGCTCAGCTCTGCACTTTTTCTTTCCCCTCAATAACAGCTTTGCAGCAAAAACTAACACTTTCTTCCACTTTTCTTTCATTTTCACTTTAAATGTTCAGAATCAGAAGCACTCATTTCACTTTCAGTGGTGAAGTTCATCCCCAAAGGGTTGTTTTCCATTGGAAAACAGTAAAAGCTTCTTCAAATACATAGCGAATAAAACTAACACAAGAAGCAGTATAGGCCCACTGCTGAATGAGGTGGGTGCCCTGGAGACAGAGGATATAAAGAAGGCAGAGGTGTTGAATGCCTTCTTTGCCTCTGTCTTTACTCCTGCAGACTCTCCCCGGGGGGACCCAGATTCCTATAGCCCCAGAAGGAGTCAGGATAAAGGAGGAGTTTGCTTTGGTGGATGAGGATTGGGTTAGGGATCAGTTAAGTAATCTGGACATCTATAAATCGATGGGTCCGGATGGAATACATCCGCGGGTGCTGAGGGAGCTGGCGGAGGTCATTGCTGAGCCACTCTCCATCATCTTTGGTAAGTCGTGGGAAACAGGTGAGGTGCCTGAGGATTGGAGGATGGCAAATGTCACACTGGTCTATAAGACGGGCAAGAAGGAGGACCCGGGTAATTACAGACCGGTCAGCCTTACCTCCATCCCTGGAAAGGTGATGGAACAACTTATTCTTGACACCATCTCTAGACATATCAAGGATGAGGGGGTCATTAAGAGCAGCCAACATGGTTTTACCAAGGGGAAGTCATGTTTGACCAACCTTATAGCCTTCTATGAACAAGTAACTATATGGATGGATGATGGTAGAGCGGTAGATGTGTTTTTTCTTGATTTCAGTAAGGCATTTGATACTGTCTCCCACAGCATCCTCATAGATAAGCTAAGGAAGTGTGGGCTTGATGATCAGGTAGTGAGGTGGATCAAGAACTGGTCAAAAGGAAGAAGGCAGAGAGTTGTGGTCAATGGGGCAGAATCTAGCTGGAGGTCTGTGACTAGTGGAGTCCCTCAGGGGTCAGTGCTGGGACCAGTGCTGTTTAATATTTTCATCAACGACTTGGATGAGGGAACTGAATGCACCCTCAGCAAGTTCGCTGATGATACTAAACTGGGAGGAGTGGCTGACACACCAGAGGGCTGTGTTGCCATTCAGCGAGTCCTGGACAGGCTGGAGAGTTGGGCAGAGAGGAACTTGATGAAATTCAACAAGGGTGAATGTAGTCTTGCATCTGGGGAAGAGCAGCCCCATGTACCAGTACAGGTTGGGGGTTGACCTGCTGGACAGTAGCGAAGGGGAAAGGGACCTGGGGTCCTGGTGGATAGGAGGATGACCATGAGCCAGCAATGTGCCCTTGTGGCCAAGAAGGCCAATGGCATCCTAGGGTGCATTAGAAAGGGTGTGGTTAGTAGGTCAAGAGAGGTTCTCCTCCCCCTCTACTCTGCCTTGGTGAGGCCGCATCTGGAATATTGTGTCCAGTTCTGGGCCCCTCAGTTCAAGAAGGACAGGGAATTGCCTGAAAGACTCCAGCGCAGGGCAACTAAGATGATTAAAGGAGTGGAACAACTCCCTTATGAGGAGAGGCTGAGGGAGCTGGGACTCTTTAGCTTGGAGAAGAGGAGACTGAGGGGTGACCTCATCAATGTTTACAAATATGTAAAGGGTGAGTGTCAGGATGATGGAGCTAGGGTTTTTTCAGTGATGTCCAGTGATAGGACAAGGGGCAATGGGTGTAAACTGGAGCATAGGAGGTTCCATGTGAACATCAGGAAAAATCTCTTTACTGTGAGAGTGACAGAGCACTGGAACAGGTTGCCCAGGGGGGTTGTGGAGTCTCCTACGTTGGAGATATTCAAGGCCTGCCTGGACAAGTTCCTGTGTGATGTACTCTAGGTTACCCTGCTCTTGCAGGAGTGTTGGACTAGATGATCTTTTGAGGTCCCTTCCAACCCTTAGGATTCTGTGATTCTGTGAAAAGCAAGGGCATTTTGGGTTAATCTGCAAAGAACTTTTAAGTATATATCTTTAGTTCATCCACAGAACTGAAGTAATTGTTTTTTCACAACTTTAATCAGTGTGTAGCTTAGGTATACTGCCATGCCCTATCCAGAATGAGGTGTTCTAACTTTGATTGTGCTTTAGTTAACTCTGAAGGTAATAACTCTGGAACTTGCTTTGTGATATGATTAGCATACAGGTAATCTTTATGATAGATAAGCCAATTGAAGTGCTTAACGCAAAAGTTAAGTCACAGTCTGAGTTAGTAGGAGTTCCCACAGAGCTCCTAGAGACTTCAGCTACACCAGAATTTTGTTAAAAATAATAAGCAACTGTATAAAACTTTCACAAAACATGCGAATCTGAATGGAACTGATGAGACTTTACTGCGATTGTTGTTACAGGTGAATACATTTCACTTTCCAGAATCATCTTTTTCCTTGTTCATCCGCAGCTGTAACGGAGCAGCTGTAGATGCTGCTGGCATTGTTTTCTGATCCTGTTCCAAAGACAGTGACTCAACTGGTGTCAGGGTAGACTTCAAAACAAGCGTAAAGCTGACAGTTCATTACCACTCAGTTCAAAATATTTATGGGATTAAGACTCATATATTATGGATAACTCAAAAACGTTTGAAGGCCTAATCCAGTGGATATACAAATCAAAAGAGTTAAGCCTTTGGGTATTTATTTTCCCTGGATGCCTCCCTATAAACTTAAATCAGTTCAAGAAAACTTGAACCTTCCCCAGAGACACCTGATCACTCGCAAACAAGCTGAGAATTCATATTGCTGTTCTCCAGGCTTTAAAATTGAACTTTAGGGCCCTTTACTCAATAGTAGTGTGGACCAGCCATAATTCTAAGTCAGTACATCAACTAAGAACAAAACTGGGAGAAATCGGGAACAATCGTGGTTTAAAAAGCAGAATAAGCATATTTTTTCTCAGCAGCTATCCTTTTTACTGTACTACCCCCCCCCCCCCAAATCCCAAATTGTCTCAAATTTATTAGTCTCACACTCTTTAGTTTCTACTGCTTGTCACAAGATTTTTTAAATGTTACAGTACAACCAGTAAGGGAACCACTTTTCCTGCATCCATCTTTTTACATCTGGATACAGAATTATTTTCTATTGAACTGTCATTATTATTGGGGGGGGGGGGGGGGGGGGAGGTTGTTTTTTTTCACAGCATGTGTGAATTCAGATTTGGATTTATCGTTATGTGGCTGTAGCAGTCATTTTAATAGACCTTAACATGTCACCTTCCTCATGAGATTATCACTGTATACATCCATTGTATACATCCATTTTTCTGTGTGGATTGAGTGGATCACATAGAGGGGAAGGCCTGGGGTGTGGGCAGTCACAGTGACACTGGCAGAGTCCCTCACAGACACCTGCCACCTTCCCAGAGCTGTGGCAATAGCTTGTCCCATGATACAGCACTGGAACACAGCTGCTCTTGCTGGCTTCCCCACGCTATCAGTCCCCAGCTAACTGCATTATGCTGTCAAATGACCTGCTGGTGCTGCTGTGCAGGCAAAGTGCTGGCAGAGGGATGATCCTGTGACTTGCCTGCAGCATGACTGCCATGCCCAAAGGAACAGTGGGCACTGAGAAGGCAAGTGTGCTGTGCCGCAAGAGGCCCCTCAGAGCTGCTCACGTGCCTAGGCACAAAAAGCAGTCAAACACGTTAGCTCTGGCAACGAGTTCCTGCCACCTTTATTTTTCCCATTTTCATGCCAATATACCTTATGTTGGAACATTTAAATGATGTATTAAGCAGAAATAAAAGATAATAAAAGTACGAATATGTGAGGCATGTTCCCTGCCTGCCAGAAATCCAAAGGGTGCCAGAGAAGGACCACAGTCAGGGATTTGAAAGCCCAGTGCATTGGGTCTCCAGCTAGAGAATGGAGTCTGGCTTCAAATTCAACTTGATTCACATACATCTGTGCTGAGACTGTCCTTGGAGTTTACATCAGGAACCGCAAGTTATTCTCTGATTGCATGTGACTGTGTTAGCAGTAATTCCAGGGGATTTCTGCTGCAGTGTTATAACAACTCTTCTGTTACCTGCAGAGCTTGCAGAGCAGCTGGGGGAACTCGCTGACATAGGAAGACTGAAGGGTTTAATGTCTGGAGTTCACAATGTGCCTAAATCCAAGCTTGCGGCATATCCAGCAGATTCCCAAACATAGGATTGAGCAGGGTCTTGAGAGTTCATCTCATCCTTCTCCCTGCCCAAAGGAGGAGTCACACATCCGGCATCTAATGTGCTGCAAGTGACTGTGTTTAGGTGATTGAATCCCACCTTCTGGTTTTACCCCAGTGTAAGTGTTTTTACCCTAGGTGATGAAGGCTGCTATCTTCTTCCTTTGACTAAACTAAATAAAGTGAACTCTACAGTAGCTGATGAAAGGTCTTTTTTCCCAGTTCTTGAACTATTTCTATGACTCTGATCTGCTGACAGAAAACCCTTCAGTCTTCTTTTTCAGTGGGAACACTCCAGCGGGATACATGTTCCACAGATGGTTTCATGTGGGGCTTTGATCACTACCCACTTCTCACCAATTGCATATCCAGAGACAGTCAACACCTTTTCTTCCATCACACTGGGAGTTCCTACTGAGTTGCTTCTCTCTTCTGAGCTCTCGAAAGTATTTCAGAGTCACTGCTTACCCTCTGAAAACCACCTCCTGTAAGTACAGCCTCTGTTCCTGCTTTTTAGATGTCTAATTTAGCTTGGTATCTTAGGACTGTACTAAGACATCACTTGCCTGGATGAGCTCTCTACTGAGCAATCCTGGCCATTCTAGGGGACCCTTTAGCATTACTTGCCGCCTGGCCAGCGTTTGCATATTTGATGTCTTAGCAGAAATGTTATGTTTATTCTCAGATCTTGACAAAACCAGCAATAAGTCTTGTACTGCTCCACGCAGACATCACTACAGTAACTCCCATTCCTTAGCAGTTCTCCTTGGGCAACTGCACCTTTTCAACCCACCAGGTCTCAGACTACCGAATATTTCAGTCTTACACAGTTCTACTTTATTTTTTATTAAATCAGGCTGTTGCGTGATACTTGTCCAAATAACTGTCAGAAACCTTACATTATGATGGTCCACTTTCACCAAGCTTCTGCTCTCATCAGCACTGAATACTGAGCCTCAGACCAGACAAGGCTTGTTCTCATTGATGCCTTCTGCACTTACCACATCAGCATCTTCAGTTCGCAACTAATTGGGTTCTTTACCAGTAATTAAGTTATTTTTAGCGACTTTGTCCAGGGCAGAGGTTAAGCTGATCTGCCTTGAGTTCCCTGAGGCCAGCCTCCTTTATTGAGGAGCCTGTCATTAGCACAGCCTGAACTTCTGGGGTTGTGCCAGGACCTAATAGTCACCTAACCCAAACACTGGGAGAGACTTCCTTGGCCACGACCTGTGACTAGAAAGGGAGCAGGCAACCCAGGCCAACCAATTGCTTAATATTCGTGACATCTTCTCAAGTTATTGAAAGACTGGAATGCACATGAGATCATAAATCTCAAGGCTGGGATAATTTTCCTCATAGTAGCTGGTATGGGCCTCTATTTTGGATTCATGCTGGAAACAGAGTTGATAATTAAGGGATGTTTTAGTCACTGCTGAGCAGTGCTTAGACAGAGTCAAGGCCTTTTCTTCTCACCCCATCCCACCAGTGAGTGGGCTGGGGCTGCACAAGAAGCTGGGAGGTGACACAGCTGGAACAGCTGACCCCAACTGTCCCAAGGGATATCCCAGACCATATGGTGTCATGCTCAGAACATAAAGCTGGAGAAAGAGGAAGGAAAGGAGGGACACTTGGAGTGATGGCGTTTATCTTCCCAAGTAACAACTACATATAATGGAGCCCTGCTGTCCTGGGGATGGCTGGACACTTGCTTGCTGATGGGAAGTGATTGAATTCCTAGTTTTGCTTTGCTCATATGCACAGCTTTTGCTTCACCTATTAAACTGTCTTTATCTCAATCCATGTGTTTTCTGACTTTTACTTTCCTGATTCTCTCCCCATCCCACTGCAGGTAATGAGCAAGTGTCTGTGTGGGGCTTAGCCACTGGCTGGGGTTAAACCACAACGCTCATTCTTTATTGCCACTGGAAGATGGAACAGCTACACTGAGTAGTGAGCCTGGCCCCTCACTAAGTTTTGTCTCTGTCTAAGATTTCTGAAACATACCTGTTAGTCTTCCTGGTTGTTGGCCTAACATCTTCACTACTATAGTGCTTGCCTGAGAATGCGCAGATGGGCAATGTAGGAGGCATCCAGGCATTTCTGAGCTAACAGGAAGAAACATAACCTCTGCTGTGACCTTCACGTGCCTCGCTTGTTCACAGGTTCTTTTCTGACTGTGCTAAACCAAGAGCCAGTCCTGCTGGTGGTACTGTTGTTTCTGCCTGATTAGAATCATAAAGGAAATATTTCTCTGGTCAGTTTTACGAACCACACATAACAATTCTGGGAAATCTGGTTGTCAAAAATAGATTTACTTTTTAAGAAATAAACTATACATATTAAAAATTTTATTCTCCAGTTCCGGAAATGCCATCAGATGACACAAAGATTTTCATTTGTTAATGCCTGGAAAGAGGAAAGCTGGTTCCATTTCAGACACCATCAGATAATACCTTTGCCAGAGGATGTTACTACGGTTTTAGGCTAAATATATAATATAAATAACCTGTCTTCTGCTGTACAAAAATATCTACTGGCTGGAAGCAATTATTGTGAGATAATACGTGGAAGTTTGCCAGCTGGGCTTGTTAGGTTTTCTAACTCTACATTTATAATTTACATTAGTGCACAGCACTATCTCCTAGCCCAGCCAAGACCCCATTGCTCTATTTATGAACCTACTTTGTGTATCAGTGGTAAAATTATAGGCTGAAGTAAACCATGCAGTGAATTAATCTAAACCAAATCCTTAGAAGAGATTCATTTCCATTCAGGAAATAAGCACCGTGTTTAAATGGACCTCATTCAAGGTGGGTGAATTATTATTCCAATTGTTCAGTCAGCTTTACAGCTTGCCAGTGGCTCAATGCCAGCATTTACTTAACAGGCTAATAAAAGTCTGATTATCAAAGCCACCAGGTCAGCTGCACACTGGATGGCAGGCAGGGAGCAGAGAACCATGGAGAGCCACAGAGAGCGTAGCAGCCACCACCACAACAGCCACCTTGGTCAGACACAAGACCAAGGAATTACACTTTTGTGTTACATCATGTCCTGCAGTCAGTAATAAAATGAACCAAAAATACTCTCAAGAGCTCTCTGGGCCAAAGAACGTTTGGATGTGGACACAGTTTTCCCTTCACCAGTGACCTGTGGAGAGGGGCTAAGTGTGGGAAACAGGGTCCCATGAGCCTGCCTTGGGGATCAGGGGCCTTCATGGGGGGAGCAGTCACCCCTCCTGTGCTGTAAAAGGGAAGGGGGGAAAGAGATGCCCAGGGAAGGGCGGGGGGAGCATGTGACTCACAGGCTTTTGTGTTCCTGGTCCAGCAATAATGATCCTGGAGGTGAAATCCTAGGACTAGATTTCTACGTAGAAAATAGACCTTTACCATACAACAACTGGTCAGCAACTTCAGTATGCAATAGAGCGTGCGTACAGAGAGACTCTGTTGTTGTAATGTTGCCTGTATTTTCTCAGTGTGATCACAGAGAACTGGTAAAATACCTTTGGGAACAAATGTCTGGATGGAGATAAAGCTGCATTTGCAGTTCATGGTTCCTGTGTGATTTGCTATGGAAAAAGCTAAACATTCAAAATGTTCAAGCTAGCCCCTGGCAGACATTTTCCCAGCAAACAAAGGCCATGGAAACTGTGCAGATGCCTGCTTGAAAATGGTTGGGTGAGAAAGTTTTGCTTCCCTTTTCACTTTTATTTCCTTATTCCTTACATGATACTTATTTTTAGAGTGAAAAAGGAACAGGATCAAAAACGCTCACTGGCTTATTGAAGTCAGACCAAACACTTTGTAGCACAGAGGTGAGAATTTAGGGTGGGGGAAAGTCTGACCCCTGGGAGGGCGGTTAGAGGGAATGTGCTCTAATTTGTGCTCCCTATCCATCTGACATATGCCAAAAGACTGTGCAAAAGCAGGATTTGTACTAACTTTTGTCCCCAGTTCAAAGCTCATAAATTAGGATATTTATCTTATTGGCAGACCATGGCAGGAGATCAGTCTTCACAAGGTCTTTTGACAGCCTTAAAAACTGAGTGACCTTCTGGAGGCTCCAGTCTCACCCCACGGACTTCAGAGAGAGCCAAGGAAGGTCACCTTCCTCAGCTGAGTGCCCCAAGATGTGGGAGATGACTGGACCATATGAACAGCCATGAAAACAGAGCTGCTGTGATTCAGCCCTTGGGAAAATGACCAGAAAGGGAGAAAGTGGTGCATGTGGTTTGGAAGAGGGAAAAGCAAGAGAAAAAGGGAAGCTAAAAGAGAAAAGGGGTAAGAAATTGAAAGAAATTCAGCTGAGCGGTAACAGGGAAAGCAACCACCGAAGGGAAGTAGCAAAGAGACTAAGGGGGGAAAGTGTTTGAGAGAAGAGATCAGGCAGAGGGAGGTCAAAAGCAGACAAGTGAGAATACTGAGCATCACGCAGAGGAGCTCTCAGCCCCAGACCCTGACAAAGGAGCAGCTGCTGCCTGCGGCTGCAGGAGCCACTGGCTGAGCCACCCTCCTGGGACTGGAGGAAGCCCTGTGTGAAGGACACTGCAGCACAGTTGGAAAATCATTCAGGGTTTTCCCTTGCTCTGTTGCCAAAATTACTACAGCATGACCAAGGCAAGGTAAGCACAAAGAAGCACCCAAACATATCCAGTCTTTGGAAGCACTTTTGGTTTAATTGTGAAATGCCTTTTGTATCTACTTGGAAAGTTACACAAATGCATATGTTGTGCAAATCCAGTGATTAAAAATCACTAGTTCCTAACAGTAAATACACTGCCGACTGGAAAAGTTAAATATGGTTAAGAGAAATAATGTGGGAGCCATTAGCCAGTGTAATCACTTTAATAGAGCCTATTATCTTTAATGGAGCTTTAACAAATACACAAACACATGTACACACAGTGAATATACCATATTAGAAATAAAGCTGTAGTAGAGCCAAGCCGCAGCTTAACTATTAAGACCATGGTAAAAGGCCTGCCCTTGCAGCTGGGATTACGAAGTACTGTAAAACACAGTGAGATGCTTTTTCTCTTTGGGAAACCTTCCTGCTCACTGTGAGGAAGCGTTGCCTGAAGGCTGAGCCAGCACATGTGGGATGCGAGCATCCAGACTGCGGTCGCATGGCGCTGAAGAATAACATGCTGCAGAGCTGCAGCGGGAGGCTGAGGGAGGCGGAGAGGAAACTCTCACAATTGCCTGTTTCCCCCGTCGCATTAAGTGACTGAGTGATCCCAGGCCACAACAGAATCACAGGAGTGAGTCACAGAGTTCAAAACAAGAGCATCCACTAATTGTTCCATGGAAGAGGCTCAGGGAAGTCTGAAGGAGGATTTTGTAGGATATTCTTTTATTCATTGTGAGCTTTGTAGTCTTCTGTAGCAAAGCCAGCCGTTCTGATCCGAGTTTGGTTTACCACTCATAGCCCAGGGAGAGCTGTGTTCCAGGGCAGGGCATCCCCCACAGGCAGGTTTTCTGCTGTGAGCCTGGAGTAGCTTTGAGGCTGTCCAGAAGGAGCTCTCAGACACCACCAGATGGCAAATGGAAGGAGGGGGAAAATGGCCTTATTCCCAGCCTGGGTGTCCCATCAGCTCTCTGCAGATGTTTTGGTCAGTTTGGTTTAGATCTGTTCATCTACATTTCAGGTGTTCAAGGCAAGCAGATCATACTATCTCTACCCTCAAGCCTCTGGACTTGGATAATATGTCTCAGTGATCAGCCCCAGAGCCTTACTCAATGAGGCTGTAGAGCCAGATACAAGATGGGGAAGAGCTTCAGGCTTCTGATGAAGGTTTAGTTTGTAGGGGCTGGATGTTACATCCTGGGTGATGAATGGGAATGAGTGGGAGTCTGGGAAGCATATGGATCCAGGGTCCTTCTTTGCCACGCTCTGTATCCTTATCTTAAGTTCATAGTGGAGTGCACTCCCTTTCCCTCACAAAGGAACAACTCATCAGTGCTCCTTTGATGCCAGTACACTCTGGTCATGGGCAATGATGTATGTGAGAGGGATGAGTGCAGTTGCAGGCCCAGGGGGTTGCATGAACAGTTGGGGACACATTGAAAGTTAGGAGGAGGTGTGAAAGGGTATTCATCCATGGGCAGGTTGCTCTGGCGAGGGGGTCAGTGAAGATGGGGATGGCTTCCACAGTGCTTATTGTCACAGACTGCAAGTTCATGGCTGTGGAACTGCCTCGTGCCTGTGCTTTCACCCTTCCCTATCCCTTACTGACCACTGCACCCAGCAAGCTGCTGCAGTTGGGTCACACACAACCCGCTTGCTTTTATGGTGCTGATTCCTTTGATCTCTTTGGTGTATGCCTTGGACAAAGAACCAGTTTGTTACTCCTTGTGGGTAACCCAGCTCCTCCATAAATGCTCTAACACCTGATTTGCCTGATCTGTGTCTTGTCATTTTCCCACAGCTTCACCTCTACATGTGCTCCAGGTTATTGGAGTCCAACTTCCAGGAACCAGGAATGCATAAAGCAGTCCAGGATCTGACATGCAGTAGTGGTATAGAAACCTCTTTCCAAGATTCATCTTAGTGCACACTGGGATACCATGTACTCATTCCTCTAGGTAACTCAGGTTCTTGGTATCTAGTTGCTGCCCTGCTGGTAGCCCTGACCTTTTCCTTCCTCTTGTTCTCTCTGTCCTCTGATGCATGAGGTCTCCTCCATTCTTATCACCAACCTTCTGCTTCTGGTTACATGAACCTGCCCAAGACGGAAAAGGGATCACAGCCTACCTGCTGGTCTGTTGCTTTCTGAAATAAGAGCTATTCAGTATCTCAGTAGGCTTCCCTGAAAGACAACCAAGGCTTAGTGACTCTTTGGTTTGGACTTTTTGGTCATGCTCTTTTCAGATGTCGGTCCAAACGTGACAAACAAAAGCCAAAGCAGATAGATCAAAATGGGATTTGGTAGAGAAAAGACCTGTGCAGGCAGATTCACTTGGCAGAAGTTAAGTCAGCTGGTTCAGAGGAAGGCAGGCAACACCTTATGCAGATACAGTGTCTTCAAGGAGATGATAGAGCCACGAAAGACTTAATGACCAACAGCTAATCTCACCTTTGCTCTTTTCTGAGAGAAGAAATTAAGGAGTGGCTGCTTCTGGACCTGTCCTCCTCCCATATGTCACTTGTGGGGAAAAGTCCATGCTGTCGACAGGAGCCAGGCGCATTTGAATTTTTCTTCTATCTGAATTTTTATGAAAATGAAGACAAACATTTTTTCCCCCATTGCCAAAAATGTGGGAATTTCAGCAGGCTGGGAGTGGACAAAAATCAGAAAATCTTGCCAAAAATTGACATTTTTCCATGTTTTACAGTTGGATTTAATCCAAAATCTATTTGGAGTAAAAGCACTTCTCAAATTATTATCAGAAAAGTGAGAGGGAGCAAAGAGATCTGCCAGGATGCAGAAGGAGCCCAAGTTGGTGGAAAATTATCACATTTGGGGACCATTTACTAGAATAGTAACACTTAAGGTCTTCTATTTAAAACAACAGCTTGGTCTCAACTGTCTGAAAACCCTCATTGCACTCCTGCCAAGTCATTAGCTTACAAAGCTCCAGGCCCTGTCTACACACAAGCCTGCCACCAATTTAACTAAAATCACTATTTAATCTATTTAGAGCAATCAGCACAACCCTTTTTGGGGGTAACCAAATTAACCTAAATCAATACAAGCCTGTTGCAAACAGAGACAAACAACTTAAGGACATCGACATCACACCCTACATTAGCTTGAGCGGTGCGAGTTTTGTGGCAAGGCGAGAGCTCAGGTCAAGCCTGGGGATGCTGTAAGGGTCCTGTTCGAGCTGTAAAGCTGTGCTTGAAGCACGTTCAGTTGTAGCTTTGTGCTGAGGTGGCCAAGTTGTCTCTCCTGCACGTTGCTACATGCATAGTCTGGATCCCCACCACTTCTGAGCTGTGGCCACCTTCACCCTGCCCTCCTGCTGGCCCTGAGCCCTGTGTGAGAAGCCCGACCGGTTTGCTGGGGGAGCTTGAGGTGAAAGACAGAAGACATAGCTAGCTCTGGTAGAAAGAAAGCATTTGGCTTCAGTGACCTGAGAAACCTTATTTAAACTCTATTCTCCTGAGCTGAAACATATGACAGCGTAAGTATGGCCACAGCATCCTCCCTCCCCATATCTGTTGCTGCCTCTGCACAAACTGGCCTCAGGAGACCTGCTGCATCCTCCTCCTTGGAAGGAAGGAAGGAAACACCAGCAGCAGCAGCTGGCCCAGAGGACAGGCTGTTTTTCACAGCTCTCACCCACTGCACAAGCTCCTGGTGCTTGCTCTGAGCCTGGCTATGGACAGCTGCAGTTGATGATGTCTCTTAGCAGAGACAGTGAAAGGTTCCTCCATATCCGCCTTCCTTATGGCAGACATAATCCCACAGATCTCTATATACCCTCCCTAATGTAATTTTTCCAGGCTGAAGGATTACAGCCCACTGGACTTCCATAGTTTCCTTTCATAGGGAATCTGATCCCTAACTTTGGTCATCCTTTCTGCTTTCCTCTGAACCTTTGTGCAGTTCTTCTATATCCTTTTTGAGATGAGGGATCAGAGTCACACTCAAAAGCAGGTGATCCAGGGATTCATACAGTGACATTTGTACAGCATACCCTTGTCTTTATTTCTAGTCCTTTCCTAATAATTCCTAACATTTGACTGGATTTTTTGTGTGCTGACAAGCATTGATTTGATACTTTCATGGAAAAAAAAAAAAAACACAATATTTTGATCTTGAAGGGGGCACACAGAGATTATTTTTCCCTATGTGTATCGCTTCACATCTACCTACACTCAATCTGCTTCCCCATCCTGTCACTCTGCAGTCTCATAATGCTCTTCTGCATTTTTTCAGTCAACTGTTGTCTTTACTACAGTGAATATCTCATTGTGAGAAAACTCTCACAGCACACCTCCTTCTCCATGTCTTTACAGGTGTGCTCCTTGTATGTGCACAAGTGGAGAGGGAAGCAGGCAATCAATAAGGCAAAAATACAAGTATGTACTCATACACCAGTTATTCTGTTTTCAGGTGCTGCATCAGCAAACCCCCATGCTAACACCCTACAACAAAATGTGACTCCAAAAGCAAAGGAAAAGCAGCAATTGGAAAAGAAGCAAGGCCAAAGGAAAAACATGGAGAGGCTGCCAAGATGCGGAGACACCTTTGTAGATGCCTATATCTCTGTTTCCCTGCTGCCCAGAGGGAGCAACAATCTCAGAGCCCCTGATAACTTCAGGGAGAGCTTTAACCTAAGACAAAGCAGCAGGATGTGACTGTTGAGGTTCAGCAGGTGAGGGATGCCACTAACTTCCCTGCCAGGGCTAGGGATTTCAAAGTGTTTTTACTGAAGACAACAGCTGGAATCTCACCTGAGTTTATCCAGAAGACTGGGAGGTCATCAATTCTCTCCTAGCTTTATCCACAGTGCAAGTTGAATCCCATATATTCAGAAGTCCATACAAAACCTCAGTCTTTGTTAAGCTGGGGTGGAAAAAGACATAAATCCCTCCAAAACCTGTGATCTTCCACAGGCACAGGAACTGCTCTAAAACAAACTAGCAGCTCCTTCCTCTTGTGGCTGTAATCCAGAAAGAAGTTAACATGAATGGAGTATCTGGCCCCCAGCTAAGTTACAAAAAAGCCAAAGATGCTCAGATACAACTGTGACAATATAACATAAAACAGGGCTAATTTTGTATTGCAGAGTGCCAGGGCAGCAGTTGATGTCTGCAGCCACATGCTCAAACGCACCAGCCTTGCTCACAGGTTTAGATAGCCCAACACCCTGGAGTTGGGTGTAGGACAAGCAGGAAGTGTGTGCTGTTCAATGGCTTTCAGCCACAGGGGAAGGTTCTCACTTCTGAATAGGCCCTGTAGGAGAAGGACCCTTAAATTACCCTTGAATGGCCTTTAGGAGAATAAATCAATATCTGTGGTGACAGTGTCACCATTTCTAAGTCTGTTGATGCAATTTCATAAGTGACTGTTACCGGTGCACTGGGGCAACCCAAGTAACAACTCTGGTTGTGTTATCCCCTCCAAAAGCCCACTGCAGGGGTGATTCATGACACCTCTGCTGTGGTGCATACCAGGTCTCTCCCAGCCTGGGGCACCACTGAGAAGCACAGGGCAAGGAAGAGCTGATGGACCAGGACAACAAGAGGGACCAAATCACCTTTAGCATCAGCTGGGCAATGTTCCAGGGCTTAAACATCAGCCCCAGCCCTACTCTGTTCACAGAGTGCAGCACAGCCAGTTCTTTTATGCTACAAAGTTTGAAGCCACTTGTGCTTTCTACCTGAAGGGTTTCTGTGGCAGCCAGAGTCATGGCAGGGAAGTACACAGGCACATTCACACATGCAGAAGCATTTGATTTTATACCAGGAGTTCAACAGCTCAAAAAGGCTTGCATTTTCTTGTATGGGTAGCTTGATTGTAATATAAACTAAGGAATTTAGGACTCCAGTCTACAAATCCTTATTAGCACTCCTTAAAAGATCTAGTTCAAATAAGAGTATTTGTATAATTCAGAGGTCTGCAAGAACATGTCCAGTCGAAGTTTCTTATGGTTTTTTATTTATTTGTATTCAAACACCATGCCACATATGATGAGATACAAAATAAACATAAGCCATTCCCTGGTATTCCCAAAAGCACTTATAGTACCAGTGTGATTTACACTGAGTATAACTTATTGCTAACAGAGGCCTACCCGAGTATAAAATTGAAGCTTAAACCACACCACTAACTGCATTTATAAGAACTTAAAGAGCAAACAATGCACCACTTGTAACTGACCCACAAGCTTGAGTATTTCTAGAGCTGGACACTAGGTGGCAGAACAAATACATGTTCTCTAATAACTGACGAATATGCGTCTTTTAAGTCAGAGGGCAGGCCCAGAGACGTTAAAGTACAGCATATATCTAAAATTAATTGGAATCTTATAGGTGCCCTGCTTTTCCAGATCAGTTCTTGTAGAACGCAGGGCCTGCTAAGGTTGGGTTTAAACCTTTTATGTTCTTTACTATGAATATTATGATTTACACACACTCTCAGGTCTTTTGCCACAAATGCCCACAGTTCCCCTTCTTTTTAAAAGCAGGACCCTGGCGAACATTACCCCAACATTTAATAGATGATAAAAGCTTTATAGAGAGGTAAGAATCTGAACTGATCCCATGTGACTCAAGAACATCGCTGTAACTGCAAGTTTGTAGGACACTGCAGCAGTAGCTCAAATTAAGTAATAATAATTGAAATCAATTGCTTATCGCTGCTTTGCGCCTGTAAAGCAACGTTTCTTCAGCAGCACATCAACTGGGAGCCTCCGTGCGTAAAGGCTGAGCCGAAAAGTGGGAGAAAAAGGTCTGGGGGAAGGCAAAGGAACCGTTTTGCACCACGAGGTGTCAGCACACACCGGACCCGGCTGCCCACTGCTGGGTGCGTGGAGGCTCCAGACTGATGTGCTGTGTGATCTTTCATCTTACCTACCTTCCCTCACAGCCCTTGCAGCTCTTGTCTGTCACCTCTCCCTTTAGGTGCGCAAAGCAAATCAGCCAGCAGTCCTTGCTGCAAGGAGAGGAACAACCCCCACTCCCTCCTAAAATGAGACTGACAGCACTGAACAATATTCCTGTGACATCGAAACACCTCGGTCTATTCACATGCATCCTTTGCCTGCCTGGTTCCTGTCCCCAAGCGTGCAAAAGCTCATTTTAGTAAAACCCTGGGCTATTTCCACATAGCTTTGTCAGCTCTTCTTGTGGGGGCCTCCAGAAGAGAGGACCTTGAGGAAGAATTAAAGTGCTCAGACCATTTTGGATTAAAAGGGGCCTGGCAAGGTGGCAGGAAAGTACAGGGCTGTGGGAGAAATTCCCAGAGACAGATGATGCTCCATAAAACCTGCACTGCACCAGCAGCCAAGAAAGTTTATGATGGGCTCAAGAAGCCATCTGACCTGTTATGTCAGTGGAGGAGCAAAGCACGCACAGCAGCTTCTTTCTTTGGGAGGAATGAATATCTGCATGACATGAAAATACCACCACTAGAAGGTGGGGGGTAAAAAGAGGATGAACCCATGTGCCTGCACAACGCAATAGGGGAGGCTCTGAGTTGAGGCCCCCTGGGTGGCTGGAGGGACACCAGTGCCAGCCTGCCCAGCCTGTGGGAGGACCTGGGAAGGTAGACACCACATCACTCACGGCCATGGTTCAGGGAGCCATGACTGGCTCCGGAAGTCAGCAGCAAGTCTCCTCTGCTTTGCTCTGCAAATGGGCCTTTCAAAGGGATTAACAGGTCAGGTAAAAGAGGTAGAGTTGGTGGGAAATCAGACTCCTCAAAGATAATCTTCTGCAGGACTGGAGAAGAAACATCTTTTATGTTTGTAGGCAATTTACCTTGGCTTATGATGATTGCAAACCTCAGACTAAGTAAGGTTTGCTCACTTGCAAAAGCAACATGAGATCTGCCCACCCATCCATCCATCCTGACACATGGCACCAAGGCCGGGGACATATGTACCAGGCCTCTCCCCTCACAGCCAGAGCACTGTTTCTGAAGTTGAAGGTGCAAACAGACAAACCAAAGAAACTAACCAATTCCTCTTCCTGCATGGAGACATTTTACCCCAGAATTCCAGCTAAACCAGGAAAGGACTGAGCCCTAGGATGGACATGGGCAATGGCTCAAAAGAATGGTACTGCCTAAGAAAGGATAAGTAAAGAAAGGGAAGAAACGGGGTTGAAGCAGCAATGACAGCAAAACAGACAAGTAAACAGCACACAAGGAAACAGTGGTCAAAGTAAGCATTCCTGTATGTGAAAAACTATCTAACCATGCCTCTAACATGCAAATGGTGGTAGTTCACACATCGAGGTTTGTGGCTACCAATTCAGGAGCAAAGGGAACATGCATGGGAAGTTGGGTGGCTGGAAGGGAACATGCATGGGAAGTTGGGTGGCTGGGAACTAAGAGCTTGTTGATCTGCGGCAGACTGGCTGGAAGCCTGCAAGCCCTTCTCAGTCCCGGATCTGCAGGTTCTCCACTGCTCAGAAAATCAAGTTCCCCTTATTTATAACCCACGGATAGATAGATGCCTTGGGAACCATCTGGTTGTTTTAAATTCAGTTTCTCCGGTCAACTCCAATCTCTTTTATAGCTGAGTCACCTGGTTTTGAAGTGTTGTTTCTAGTTCTTTGCAGGGCCGTCTTCCTGTCCCACGTCCTCCCCAGTCCCACCCTACCCCCATGTGCACCCGCTGCCCTGCAGCTCAGCCTGCTCTTCCTCTGTGATGTCCCACTCCTTGCCACTCTTCCCCCCTTTGTCTCTACCTCACTTCCTTCCATTTTGCCTCTCCGCCGCCTTCGCCCTTCCCAGCTAACCCTTTACTATCACACTCCAGGCTTTCTGGAGTTCTGACTAGTTTCTTTTCCAGAATGGGAAGTGGTAAACCAACCTACGACAATGCACAGTCTTCTGGTAAAAATCCTGTCACTTCGTCTCCCCCTCCCTTGCTACCATCTTCTTTTTGTTTGTCTTGGCTACTCTTCTGCCTACTCTTAAATTGCAAATGCTTTGATGGCAGTGCCAGAATCTGGTCCATAGAATTCCATAAGGCACACAATAAGCTAAATATTATAAAAGGTCCTATTTTAATTTTGATTTTGATTTTCAGTAAACTCACCAAAAATCCAAGTAAGCAGGGCTCTGAGTAGACAGACATACGTGTCCTGTCAACAGGAAGTTTCTCTTGCATAACTTCTCTGGCAGTTCTGGAAAGCAAATTGTGGCTGGCTTTATTTTCCTCACTGCAAATTAATAGTCAGGAAAAAAGTTAACACGTAAAGAAAAATCATTTCTGAGAAAGGAGATGATTGTAGAAAAGCAAACGATCTTTAGCACGCAGAGCTGCCCTTGTGAAACATCTGCTATGACGTAGTCCAGTACTGGCCACAGACCAAGCGTATCAATAGCTCCACAGAGTAATGGGATAAGAAATGGGAAAATTGCCATTGCTTGTTTTGCTGATATATGTCTGTCACTTTTCAAATAGCTACAGGGTAATTGTTTTTTGGGGGAAAATATTTCCTTGAGCAGGACGTTTGCAGGCCATTAGCTATTTCCCATCTGTGCTGGTGTTTTAATACACCACATACACACTTTGCTCCCTAGTAGAAATTATTCACAGCTTCTGATTCCAGACAGACAGCCTGAAGGTTAGAAATCATGTCTGTCATTAAGAAGTTCTCTCTCGCCTTAAAGAAAATTTATTTTTCAAAATCATTAGAAACAGTATGTATTTTTTTGCAAAAACCTCTAACATAAAGATTGCCAGGGGGAAGGAAAAAATTTTCTTTATAGGTATCTGTAATTTTAAGATAATGAATGACTGTACAAAAGCAGGAGCTCTTTCACTACACTGCGGCCGCTGTGGGCTCATTCCACAGAGTGAAGCAGAACACAACTCAGCCACACGCTGCCACGTGCTAGAGTTCATCCCACCCGTTTTCAAACTGTGCCATGAACAGTTTTAAATTCCACCTGATAGCTGCCAGGACAGACAAGAGACTGACAGACCTCTGTTTAATATCACATAATGCCTGTAATAATACCTGCTTTCACTTCACACACATACACTCAGCAAGCAATTACTTGCAGTAAACATAGCTGTGCCAAAAGACACAGAACCATATGCTCTTATCTGCATCAACTGAAATACTGCATGCTTACTTTGGGAGGGGGGGAGAGGAGGAAGGAAGAAAATAAAAAAAAAAAAATCCTTTTCCTTTCTTTCCCCTCTTCCCATAAGAAAAAGAAACAGGTGAAAACCAAGGAGAGATGTAAAAATATGGATGCCATTACAGATTCATTCCAGTGATAAACTTGTTTTGTCATCTGAATCCTTTGCATTTTTTTAATACAAGAGAATCACATGAAGTTTCTCTCCTAGCTCTTTTTTAGACTTCACAGAATAAAGTTAAGGGAGAAAGAGAAAAGAGATTCAGGATTATAAAGTGTCCCTCCAAGTATGGACATAGGAATGGAGTGAAACTTACAAGTCCAGTCCTGCACAGTGGGAAACTCACATCATTATCTGCTGCTGGGACCAACAGGCAAAAGGACCAAGTATAGGCAGTGACTAGTTTTTAGAATTTATTGTAAAAAATAGTATTTAACAATAGGAAAAAAGCCACTCCTTGTTCAACCCACCATATATTGCTTTATGTGGAAACAATGGAAAAATGTGATAGAAATGTATTTACCCATTCCTATCCATGTATCAGATGGTCCCAGCTATTCAGGACATGCTCATGGGAAAAATATTGGCACTATCACAGTATATGGAAGTGGAAATAAAGAACATGCAGTATTTTCAATTACAGTTGGGAGGCCTATTTCCTGAAGTCTAAAGATCATGTTGTTTTATCTGTTTTCCTTTAGCATAATGTACGTTATCAGACTTTCATAACTTCAGACACCGGCAGAAAGCCCTGATTTTTTGCCAGTGGTGACATACTCACCTCAAAGATAAATGTGGAAAGCAGAATGTATGCCTTATTTCTGTTTGCAATTTCCTTTCCATAGGAACGTGCACATGATATAGTTCCTGCTAACAGATATTTAAAGCTTGGCTAGCCCTTTCCCACTTATACCAGTTCAACCCCACTGGAGGTCCTCAGGGCAGCACAAACAATGGAGAACAGACTTCCAACACCACACCGCGTTTGTTTTGGCCAAAACCTGCTACTTGAAAAGCCTTATGCTTTTGTCTACAGACAGAAAGATGTCAGATTCTGCATTAAACTGTATTACAAAAAATGCAAACCAATATATTCCACAATTTTATTTTTGTGGATTTTCTAGCTCATGTCAAAACTGTGAAGTACCAGTGTTAACTTGAACAAAGCTCAATTTAAACAGAGCTCAAAAATAATGAGTGCACAGCAGTATTTACCTGGTGCAATTAGCTTCACTATCAACTGGCAAAAAGTTGACATAGTTTCAGTTTCATTTGCAAAAGCATTAATCAGAAAAAATTTACAGTTACATGGCACCTTTGAGACTACCCCAGTTTCAAGACAAGGAATGAACTTACACATAGATAGGTACATTATTTTAGCTATGAGTATAGAACCCAAATACTCAAAAAACAGGTCAGCAGAAATACATGGATAATGCTAAATACCAGTACCTCACCATTTTTAATACACTGCTGTGCTTGCCAAAAACTGTTAACAGCAAACACAACAGTTTGAGGTGACTCACACGAAGGACAGTCAGTGGTGTAGAGTGCAGTGGAAATTCTGGTAATTCTGAAGGAAGATACAATGGAGCAATACAGGAAATTCCAAACTGAAAGGACAAAGTCAAACATTTATTCTCTTGCACATCAGAAAAAGTATGTTCGGTTACAAATTAACCACTGCAAACAATATTCTCTCAGATAAAACTACAAATGTCTCTACCTAAAAAGCTTTGAGAAGAGTCAGAACCCCACAAACTGTAACTAGAAAGTCCTCTCTCCTTCTGGGTAGCAACAGTCTCCTTATTTTAAGGAAGACCATCATCATCAATCAATTCTGTTTTGGTGGAGAATACATCAGCCAGCATGTGCTTTGGGATTTCAGATCCCCGTACTTTTAACGTGTAGCAGGCATTCTCTACTTTTGACAGACTCTGTTTCAAGGTATACAGCTTCTTAGATACTTCGTAAGGTCCAGTGTTGCCAATGAAAGTAAAACCATCATAAATCTGACGTAAGAATTGGCTCAGTTCAAAAGGTGTGTCTATGTCACCATTTCCAACGCTGCTGATGCACAGCCGCATCAGCTCTCCAGTTAGATCAGCCACTCCCAGCAGGTAATCGACAGGTGTTATCTTCAGGCTCCAAGTATGCGGTTGTTTATCATGGGAACTTGAAGTCTGAGGACAGGACAAAGTCCAGTACAGAGAAACATGAAAAAGCAGCCTATAATGGTTCAAATACACACTGACTTATCTGACATAACTGGTAATTGAAAACAGTCTGGAAAATTAAATTGCATGGCACTTCCACACAGTCTGATTTCAGAAGTACGGACCTCCTTCCAGCATACCAGAAGGTATGAAAGCATCATTTCCACTGGAAATGAGATTTCCATTCTAGCAAACATGATAAACATACCCTGCTACTACTACATTTGAAACAGAATTATCACGTCTGTGTACTAACATTTATTTGCAGTTGCTTTTCTTACATTTTCTTCTTTTTTGCTGATAGGTCTCAGCCTAATAGATTTACATTTTACCTAAATGGTCTATCCAAAGCTATCAAAGCAATCAAGAATCAAAGTATCAGCATTAGGAAAACCAATCATATAATTTTGCAGTAATATCTTGAATTTCAAAATGTATCTTATACCAGAAGCTGATAGGTATAGCTCAGTCAGATGTATTTTATATCAACTGAACTCATTAAAATAGCTAGAAAAATACTTCATGAAGAAAACTCATCACAAAGTTACAGGTTTGTTCCTTTATCCATGTTTCCAAAGATTTTTATTGCCAAAATATTGGAATGTGGGAGACAACACAGGTTTATTGCTGGTCCCTTGCTCCCACGCTATCCATCCAGATTCATAAATCTGGTCAGAGACATGTATGCAGGGGTTAATAACTCCACAATTTGTTAAAACAAGTGCGCCACGACGGGTTTGCCTCTGGTAAGAACAAATGAACTTAAGCTGAAAACATAGCTTCTTTGGAAATATCTTGCCAAGAGAATGAAAAAGAATCAGAAGTGCTTTACAGCAGAATTTCTTCAACAGAAGCAGACGCAGGAATTCATCTCAAGTTGTACATTACTGTACACTGCACATGTACTGCATGGGCATTTCTGTGTATCACTATAAAATTGCCTTTTGTGCTCTGTCAACAATCAAACTGAACCCAGTTTACTGTGATCAGTGGCAGTAGTTTGTCCCTATGCAAAAAGTTCCATTTAGGGCAGGGTAGGAGTATTGGCAAGCCAAGAAACAGCAGATACGGTATTAGGGGTAAGGTATGATGGTCCTCTGAGGGAAAGCATCAAGACCAACTCCAGGAAGACTACAAAGGAGCTAAGACACACAGAGTACATTTTAACAGAAGGTGAATACAGTGCCTTCTGTGACTAGTTACCAGCAGTAACTAGTTACTAGTTACCAGTTACTAGTTACCAGCAGTTAGATTTCATTCAGAGTTCATCCTGCCTTTGATTCACTTGTTACCCCCAGCTTTTGCTACATCACTATTACACCAGTATAGTGATACTTATCAGCAGGCCTTACATGCAGTCCCAGACATTAAAAATCCCTCCTCTGTATTTGTTTGCTGGTATTTCATTACCCAGGATCCTTCCCTCTACCAGGAGTTCAGCTTGCTCTGAATAAGAAGGATGTGAAATTTATAAACTTGCATCCCACAGATTTAGTTTACTACTTGTCAGAATAAAAAGTGTGTTTTGAACGAGTCAAAGTCTACATGTATATCTAATATTATTCCACTAACTGGCCTTATTTAATCAGATGCCAAAAAAGTGACTAAGCTTACTCATTGCATTTCCATTCCAGAAAGATGTTTGTCATGAGAAAAGAAACATTTTTACCGTGTTTGTTGTTTCTTCTCTGTCTTCTGCTGTAAATATTAGTTGTTTGTTGATCTCTTCAACACTAATCAAAGAGCGTGTTTTGATAAAATACTGAAATGAGACCGCCTCAACATATTCCTGAAGTCCTGCAAAAAACAGCACAATTAAGACAGTTAATTCAAACATTCCAGCAATGATCCATGCTCACATTATTTATTTTTTTAGAAATCTTTTTAAGGTTACTAGCAAGAAGTGAAAACTAAGATAACCCAGAAATAACACTGAAACATAATCTAACATAGCATGCTTCTGAAGTACAAAAACCAGACCAAGAGCACAGCAGATAAACATTTTCAAGTTTTTACTCCAACTGCATTTTTCATTCAGAACCTGTTGTAATTCAACATAAAGAATTACATTACTCTCAGAAACATACTGAACAGCACCTCCCCATAATGTCCCTCAGAGGTCTTCAATGGGACCAGTACTGTTCAATACCTTCATCAATGACATAGTGGGATCAAGTGCAGCCTCAGCAAGTTTGCAGATGACACCAAGCTGAGTGGTGCAGTTGACAAGCCTGATGGGTGGGATGCCATCCAAAAGGACCTGGACAAACTCAAGAAGTGGGACCATGTTTAACAAGGTTCAACAAGGGCAAATGAAGAATCCTGCATGTGGGTCGAGGCACACCCCAGTTTCAATACAGGCTGGGGGATGAAGGCATTGAGAGCAGCCCAGAGGAGAAGGACTTAGGGGTACTGCTGGATGAAAATCTGGACATGAGCGGCAGTGTGTGCTTGCAGCCAAGAAAGCTGACCGTATCCTGGGCTGCATCAAAAGGAGCGTGACAGCAGGTCAAGGGAGATTGATTCTGCTCTGCTTTTGTGATATCCCACTTGAAGTAGTGAATTCAGCTCTGGAGTCCTCAGCACAGGAAAGACATGGACCTGCTGGAGCACACCTAGAGGAGAGCCACAGAAACAATCACAGGGCTGGAGCACCTCTCCTATGAAGATAGGTTGACACAGTTGAGCTTGTTCAGCCTGGAGAACAGAAGGCTCTCGGGAGTCCTTATTGCAGCCTAAAAGTACCTGAAAGGGGCCTACAAGGAAGATGGGGACAAATATTTTAAAAGGGCCTGTTGCAGTAGGATGGGGGGTAATGGTTTGAAACTAAAAGAGGGTACATTTAGACTGGATATAAGGAAGACATTTTTTTACAGTGAGGGTGGGGAAACACTAGAGCAGGTTGCTCAGATTGATGGTGGATGCGTCATACCTAGAAACATTCAAGGCTGGGCTGGATGTGCTTCTGAGCAACCTAATCCAGTTGAAGGTATCCCTGCTCACTGGGGGGTTGTTGGACTAGATGATCTTGGAAGGTCTGTTCCAATACAAACAGAGCTTTTAAAAGACAGCATTTGTATGATGGAGAGTGCAGATTAGTATTTCACAAGTCCACAGAGGCACAATGCAAAGAACAAGACTGCAGATAAATCATAAGCAGGGCAGATCACCTACCAAAACCCAGTCATTTCCAAAAGATATTTCCTTTGTTTCACCTTAACAGCAACAGTAGATAATTGTTTAAAATGGAATTTCCCACTTCTCTATTTTGTGGTAGTGAACAGGCTCCTTAAAACATGCAGGTTAGAACTTACCCTCTAAAAGCAACAGATTCAGGGCAACAAAAGGAATTGGTGTGCTGGCAAGGAAATAAAAGATGGGATAACAAACGTAGCCTGTACCAGATCTGTATGCTATCTGCAGCCACCTGTCACAATTACCTCTCACTACCTACTTGGCAGATGGTGATTTTCTGTATGCATTACTGCAAAGGTGAGATCTAAGAAAGAGTCTGAATGTTCAGACAACGATTTCACAGGTTGTCAGTTTTTCCTTATGTGCAGAGAGCAGATCTGGGGAAAGCATGTGAGAAAACTTTGTAAGCAGAAAGCTGAAGTTGGCACTGTTGGTGGAAAAAAAAGCAGAATCAAACCTGGAACAGCCAGGGTAGGACTAAGCTAAAAAAAGTTCTGAAGACAAAATCAATGCATGTGGATCCCTGACCTACGGACAGAGAAAGTGCCAAAGGAGGATATTAAAGGAACAGACTGCAACATGACAGACGTGACTCTAACATATGCATTCTATGGGGATGGTGTCACTTCAAGAGAAGCAAGAGGTGATACTGTCAGATCATGCTGCAAGGATTAGACAACGGTTTTGCCAGTATGAAAACTGAGAAAATGTGGACGCACCCAAAGGTACCAGAAGTAGAATCCTGCTTTCATTAAAATAATCTTAAAATCCTCAGCTGGCCTCTACAGGGCCAGGACCTCATCCTACAGAGATATGCAGGAAGCAGCAAATTTAGACACCATCTGGATCAAAGAAAAAGTCTAAATCAAAGAGAACACAGATTTGAATAACAGATGACAGTTGAAATACCCCAAAAAACTGGAGGTAACCTCAAGGGAAAATTCAGTCATAGGAGGCTTTCCAAATCACAGTAACGTGAGAAGTGACCTGCATGTTCTCCTTTTACATTTCTTTTCTCTTTACATTTCTCCTTTATTTGCAAGGTGAGCAGGGGCAATTCAGAATTGCAGTTCAGCCTGCACTCTTCATGCTTCCATACAGCAGCATTTGGAAAAGCTGAATAAACATCCAGCAACCAAAGCCACCCTCAGCACTGCTGATCACAAATCAAAACACACACAAGGAGCTGCAAGCCCAATTAAACACAATAATTTAATCAACTGAATTCAGATAAAGCATTCAGGGAACAAGCAATAGAAGAATACTAGATAAAAGCTACTCAGGATCTAAGTTAAATAACTCCAGAAGTTGCAGAGAGGTGGATTTCATCACCTTTCCCAACTTAACCCTCTGATG